AAAAAAGCCAGAAGTGGCGCTGTGGCTCAAGTGGTAGAGTGCTAGTCTTGAGCTGAAGAGCTGAGGGACAGTGCCCAGGCCCAGAGTTCAGGCCCCAGGACCAGACCACCCCCCCCCCACCAAAAAAAACACTTTTTGAAATTACTACAAATCCTCTAATACACAGATCACAAATGGTGGCTTTGGATTGCTGATATCTTTTCCTTGGCTCCACAGAATTAAGTTAATACATTTGCTGTTTTAAACTGGAATGCCTAACTCCTTAACTCCAAATCAGTTCATAGTCACTGAAAGATCCTAACAAGATGAAAATATGATCATGCCACTTCACTATTAAAATTTCTAATGTTTTTCAAAATTCCTCACTCCTTAGCAGACATACAACATTCTTCACACAACCGTTTAATCTGTGGTGTTATAGTCTTTGCTTCTTAAAATGCTGGATTTAAAACAAAATACTGACTCCTGAGAGTTCAATAACACTCATTTTCATGGATGCTAGAGCTGGTAGTATGGAGAATGATGTATTTCACCCTTGAGCTCCCTTACTTGATCTGTTAACTCCTACTCCTCTTTCAGAAAGGATTCTTTCATGATCTAGACATCATCTCTCCCAGACTGTCTTCTTTGATCTCAACAACACAGGATATGCCTCTGACTCTCTACTCAACTCTGCCTACATTCCCTTTCCATAGCATCCTATATACTTCTGGTAGAGTCTTCTTGTACTGTATAGTCCATATAGTATAATAGTTCACCTGTCTTTACCCTTTATTATACCATGAGGTTCTTCATAGCAAGAATAGTTTCTTGGGCTGGAAAGGTAGCTCAATGGTAAAATGCTTGCCTTGCATGCATGAGGACCTGGGTTCAATTCCTCAGTACCACATAAGCAGAAAAAACCGGAAGTGGCATGGTGGCTTTAGTGGTAGAGCGCTAACCTTGAGCTGAAGAGCTGAGGGACAGCGCCAGGCCCAGAGTTCAGGCCCTACGACAGACAAAAAAAAAAAAGAGTATCTTCTTGTATGTCTGCATACAGTGAATGGCAGATAAGTGGCTGGGATAAGGGACTAAATTTACCAGAAACAGAAAGAGCACAAGAGATTTTTGAGGATGAAGTGGCTGTAATAAACAGAAGGAATTGTCCCAAAAGGAAGCTAAAAAATAAGGTTAGACGGCTGGGAAGGTGGCTCAGTGATAGAATGCTTGCTTTGCATGAATGAGGCCCTGGGTTCGATTCTTAAGCACCACATAAGCAGAAAAAGCTGGAAGTGGCACTGTGACTAAAGTGGTAGAGCGCTAGCCTTGAGCTGAAGAGCTGAGGGACAGCGCCCAGGCCCAGAGTTCAGGCCCCATGGCTGACAAAATAAATAAATAGATAAATAAATAAATAAGGTTAGAGAAAGAGCTACCCTAGACAAAGAGTTTTAATGAGTGAAATAACACAAGCCTATAGATTTGCAGGGGAAGCACATACGAAAGGTTGAAACTAAAACAGTGAAGAGAACTAGATGAAACAAGAAAGTGCACCAAGGGGGGGAAAACAGTCCCCAAAGTAGGAAAGAAGTATGAGTATAGGTACTGTGATGAGTAAAGGAAGGCACTAGGTAACTAAACACCCTACAAGGGTAGTTTCAACAGCTATACCGTGACACTGATTCTGTAAGCTGTGCCTACACTGTTATTATGGTACTTTTAAGATACACTGCATGCACATGTATTCAAATCTGAACCCATATATAAAGGTCTTGGAAGTAAAGACAACAAATGACTATCTATTAATTAGCATCATCAGTGCCAAGATTCAAAACAATTAAGTAAATATGGAAGGGATGACTATAGCTAGAATAAAGATAGATATTCTTTAAGAAAATCATAGGGACTGAATAGAGAGGGACACTTAAAGCAGACTAATAAAAACTAGGCAGCATATATATATATATGCATATATATATATATATATATATATATATATATATATATATATATATACACACACACATAAATAAATAGGTCCTACTAGAAGGGTTGGGAGACCATCACCAACATTCAGTATTTCAAGTGTGAGGTTTGGAAAGCAGACTACACAGAAAGCTAGAAGACTAGCATTATTATGTAGAGTGTCACAGTCACTCTCATCAAAAAGCAAACACATCAAACTGAGAAGATCTTTCCAATTCATATCAGATTCTTTTTTTCTTTTCATACTGCACATACTTCAACTAGATGAACAATTGTTCTCAGCTCCAAAAAAACACTTTCACTGGAGAAAAAAAAGAGTATAAAACATTCCAACTTTGATTTCAAATTTTCGAATACTAGAAATATTTTATCAGAGAGATATAGGATCTAAATGGGATAATCTAACCAAAGTACATTATATACATACATGAAACCCCATTGTATAATTAATTTACGCTAATAAAATCATCATATATACACATCCAATAGCCATATAATATAGTTACTAATGAAAGTCAAATGTTAAAAAAAAGTATTTTCACATACCCTGATGGCAAAGACTCTGTGTTTGCATTCCCAGACTGCTGCCGAAGAGGCTCCACACATCCATCTGATTGCCTTAATTTGTCAAAAGCAGAACTACTTCCAGAATTAGAGGAGTTAAGGTCTAATACGTTCTGAGTTTCAGATCCCAATTCTGTACTGACAGAAGGAATACATTCATTGTGTTCTGAGGATGCCAGTAGCTCCTGAACAGAAGAACCTTCGATGGTAGTGCTAATGCACTCTGAAGTCAATGTGGGTTCTTCCGATGGTACTGGAGTGCCCATGGCAGAAGCATTAGCAGTTAGTGCAGATGAAGATGATTCTCCGTTAACTGAGAGGGAAAAATTAAAAAGAGGATCGATAAAGTAAGAACAAGTATCTAGTTACCTAATATATTCTTCAGGTTGTAATTCAGACTGAGCAATGGGCCAAGTACTAATGAACCTAAGAGATTACATTTTTCATAGTTCACATTTAAAGATAAGTGTGTAAATAATAAAAATTTAAGTAGGCATGCCAATACCCTTGGCTTAAGGAAACAGAAACCAACATTAGCATATAAATGTTTCTCTTCCAAATTATTCTGAGGGACAATCTGCACAGATGATAAAAGAATATTAAAAAACATTTCTTCCAACTTCCCTTCTAATCTACAAAAAGGTAATGTATGACTCAATATTACCTGAAGATTATACTCCAGTCCTGAGACCCCCACATTCTTAGGTTTCATTTTTAAGTGTAACTGGTCCATTTCCAGTATGTGTACACTATAAAAGTTTGTCACATTAAGCCGGGTGCTGGTGGCTCATGTCTATAATCCTAGCTACTCAGGAGGCTGAGATCTGAGGACTGCAGTTCACACCAGACCAGGCAAGCATGTCCTTGAGACTCATCTCCAATTAACCACCAAAAAACCGAGAGTGGTACTGTGGCTCAAGTGGTAGAGTGCTAGCCTTGAGCTAAAGAGCTCAGGGACAGAGCCCAGGCCCAGAGTTCAAGCTCCATGACCAACCAAACAAAAAAACTTTGTCAAATAAACTGCAAGGAAAGGATTCAAGATGGTATGCATTAATATACTCCAATGGCTACAGCACAACTACTCAAACTACTAGAGTGAGTCCACTAAGACTCACTGGTTCTAACACAGTTATATTATAGGAAAATACACTCATCACTCCCAAATATGCAATAGGCAAACCTATATATGTATGTGTGTATATGTATGCATAAATGAAAATAACATGATAAAACTCATTAAAAACTGTTTAAGCCAGGTGTCAGTAGCTACTCCTGTAACCCAAACTAGTTAGGAAGGCTGAGAACTGGAAGATCAAGGTTCCAAGTCAACCTAAGCAGAAAAGACCATGGGATTCCATCTCAAAAAATAGCCTATATAAGCCAGGTGCCAGTAGCTCATGTCTGTAATCCTAGCTACTTAGGAGGCTGAGATCTGGAGGGTCGCAGTTCAAAGCCAGCCCAGGCAGGAAAAGTCTGTGAGACTCTTATCTCCAATAAGCCACTCAGAAAACCAGAAGTGGCACTGTAGCTAAAGTGGTAAGCACTAGCCTTGAGCTGAACAGCTGAGGGACAGCACCCAGGCCCAGAATTCATGCCCCATGACTGACAATAAAATAAAATAAAATAACCTACATAAAGCCAGCCTGAGCAAATGGCCCCAGTGGTAGAAAACCAGCCTAGCTATGAGCAAGAAAGTTGAATGAGAAGGGCTGGGAATGTGGCTTAGTGGTAGAGTGCTTGCTAGCATGCATGAAGCCCTGGGTTTGATTCCTCGGTACCACATAAAACAGAAAAAGCTGGAAGCAGCACTGTGTCTCAAGTGGTAGGGGAGGTAGGGTACTAGCCTTGAGCAAAAGAAGCTCAGGGACAGTGCCTAGGCCCTCAGTTCAAGCCACAGGACCGACACAAAAAAAAGTTGAATGAGAGTGTGAAGCCTTGAGTTCAAGCCCTGATAAGGGGGAAAAAAATGTTAAGAGATGATGGGAAGGGGAGGGGGATTTATGTAAATATCACAATGAAATGCTTTTCAGTCATCCTTCACTATATCAGTAGTTCACTTATTGCGGCTTCACTATGTCATGGGTTCTTTTAAAAATATGTAAATAGTGATCCCTTACCCATCGTGGGAGCTATGTTCCAGAGATCCCTGTGACAGGTGAAAACCCATGAAGTAATTTCAAATAGGGAATCTGATGAGTATTTTCAAGAGTAAGTTGTTATTTAAAAAAAAAAAAAAAAAGCAGGCATGGCTCTTTAGGCTCACTTCAGCTTCCTGTCATGTGATCCCTCCTTCAGTACGTGCTCCAGACATGGCCATTCTCTTCAAAGGTTAAATAAATGGGGCCATATGATCTCACTTTCAGCTTCCAAAACTGTGTCCTAAATAAATCTCTTTTCTTATCAATACCAAATTTCAAACTCTACTACAAAGCCATAGTAATTAAAACAGCTTGGTAATGGCACAAGAACAGACCTTAGGACGAATGAAAATCCAGAAATGAACTCACAGCCACCTAATCTTCGATAAGGGAGCTAAAACAATAGAATGGAAGAAAGACAGCCTCTTCAGTAAAGAGTGCTGGCAAAATTGGTTAAACACCTGTAGAAAACTAAAGCTAGACCCTTATATATCACCCTGTACCAGAAACAATTCCAAATGGATCAAAGACCCGAGTCAAAGCAGACACCCTGAAAACATTACAGGAAGGAATAGGAGAAACCCTAAGTCTCCTTAGCACAGACCGAAAGTTTCTTAATAAAAACCCAGAAACACAACAAATAAAAGGTAGGACAAATGGGATTGCATGAAACTGCAGAGCTTCTGCATGGTAAAGGACTTAGCTAGCAAGATCAATAGAAAGCCCACGGATTGGGAGAAGATCTTCACTAGCCATACAACGGACAAGGGTCTCATACCTAAAATGTACTTAGAACTCAAAAAATTAAATCCTCCACCAACAAATCTTCAAAGAAACAACTGCCCAATAAATAAGTGGGCTAAAGACTTAAAGAGAAACTTCTCTAAGAGGAAATAAGAATGGCCAATAGACACATGAAGAAATGCTCAACTTCTCTAGCTATAAAAGAAATGCAAATCAAAACAACATTGAGATACCACCTCACCCCAGTTAGAATGGCTATAATCAAGAAATCTAATAACAATAGATGCTGGAGGGGATGTGGACAGAAGGGAACCCTACTGCATTGTTGCTGGGAGTGTAAACTTGTTCAACCACTTTGGAAAGCAGTATGGAGGTTCCTTAAAAGACTCCACATAGTGCTCCCCTATGAACCAGCAATCCCACTTTTGGGAATTTACCCAAATGATCACAAACAAGGGTATACTAAAGGTACCAGCACAACTTACGTTTATCGCAGCATTATTTACCATAGCTAAAATATGGAACCAATCCAGATGCCCCTCAGTAGATGAATGGATCAAGAAAATGTGGTATATATACACAATAGAATTCTATGTCTCCATCAGAAAGAATGACATCACCCCACTTGTTAGGAAATGGAAAGACTTGGAAAAAATTATGTTAAGTAAAGTAAGCCAGGCCCAAAGAAACATAGGTCCCATGGTTTCTCTTAGTTGCAATAACTAGTATAAGTTTAAGACAAGCAGAAAAGGTCAAAAGCTATGTACATATGACCATATAAAGTGATGTTAAGCGAAATGAACCCCAAGATAGGGACACAAATGGTTTTTCTTTCTTGCTATTGTTTTTAATGTATTTATAATGTACTTTGTGATTTTTTGTTTCTTTGGTATGTTCTTCCACCATGGTATAACCCCTGTTTTCACTGTATTTGATTCTGGTATCCTGAATCTTGTATATACATTTTTCTAATTTGGGGAGAGGAAGAGATATAACGAAATGCTTAAATAGGGATACAGGTTGACCCATTGTAACAATGAGATATACAAGACACTATGTTGAAAACGAACTTTACTATTTTGGTGGGGGAAGCAGGGCTGGGGGAGCATGGGAGAGTAGTCCAGGAGGTGGGGAAGGAAGGGATGGTAGGGGAAAAACAAAGGAGGGAGGCAACAATACTTGATGGGAAATGTACTCATTGCCTTGCTCATGTAACTGTAACCCATCTGTTCAGTATTTTTACAATAAAAATGTATTACAAAATAAATCTCTTTTCTTTATCCACAGGTATTTTGTTACAGAAACATAAACAGACCACTTTGTATTTCTAAAGCAGGAGCATCATAAGTTCAATGTTAGTCTAAGCTATAAGCAAGTCCTGTCTAGAAACAAACAAAGTCAACTTTCACTTAATGTGGATATAGCTGTACAGAGGAAAAGCTTGAGTAAGACGTGGTAATTGTGCAATCATGGCAATTATATGAAACATACCTTTGACAAAATTACACAGAACTCAACTCACATGGAAAACAAGCAAACTATATGAAAACACTCAGTGGTTTGTACCACTGTGAGTCTTCTGATAGATATTTTACTATAGTAATACAAGGAGTTAACACTTGAGAAAGATATGGGACTTTCCTATACATTCCTACTCAGTTCTTTAATATAAAAAGCTAAGAAAAAAAGTGTCATAAATGTTTGAGATCAGCTAGCTCTGGCTGAAGAAACTGAGCTCTGATCGATTTTATTAATAATGATCATATATTACAAACAGACCCATTTAACAACAGAAGTTAGGGATTAAGGAACTAAGTGGAAAAGAATATACCTACTGTCTAAGAACTATAGTAGTTTTATAACCTCATTTAAACTTTCAAAATAATCCTCTACTTTTTAAAAATCTTTTTAATAGAGGAGCTAATTTTGAGAATGTTACATTTGTACAAGATCACTGTTAACTGAGTAAATGTCTGAGTTTAGGACTACATGGAGCACAAATCAACTCTTCACTACATTATCACTGTCTCTCTTGGAGGCTAAAATAAGTACTGATGAAATAACTAAATCTCTTAAATGGATCTTAAGACTACAAAGAACAGGAAGGGAGGAAAAGCCTTCATGTGTAATGGTATGGCAGGAAGTTAGCATCGATCAACTCCCTAGTACAATTCTATATTCCTTATCTGAAACCTTTGAGGTCATAACTTTTTGGCCCTGAAAGGTTATGAAAGGTAATATAGCACATATATTTATTAGATACTACATGAACACCAGAGTAGCGAAACACACATTATGTTTAAATATGTTAATACTTTTGCATAAAAATATAGGAATATGCATCATGAATATGATAAAACCTATAGGGTTTATTTTTTGGAGGAACATGGCAGTTTGAATTCAGGGCTTGAGTGCTGTCCCTGAGCGTTTTTGTTCGAGGCTAGCACTCTACCACTTGACCCACAGCTGCACTTCTACCTCTTTGGAAGTTTATTGGAGGTAGAGTCTCATGGACTTTCCTGCCCTGGCTGACTTCTATCCACAGATCTCAGCCTTCTGAGTATCTAGGATTACAGGTATGAGCCACTGGTACCCCACTAAAACTATAGTTTCATGTCAGCTCTAATAATTTTTCTACTGAATGACTTTATAAGAAAGAAAAACAGGAAAAAAAATAATTCCAAAAAAAACTTTAGTGATTTGGGCTGGGAAGGTGACTCAGTGGTAGAGCGCTTGCCTTGCATGCCTGAGGCCCTGGGTTCGATTCCTCAGCACCACATAAGCAAAAAGAAAAAAG